CCACCATATTCTTACGGTAAGTTCTAAATTTTCTGCCTTTACTTAGCAGGATATTTTTTACAGTGTAGAAGAGTCACTAATAAAGGATTTAGGACTGTGCACATTAAGCCAAATTGGGCGATTACAGGCCCAAAGCATCGACTATCATTAGAACCAGTCAACTAGTCTGTACAACCATCTTGTGTACACTGTTAATTATAATAAAGGCCTTAATGAACCAGCTTTAAACCTGGAAGTATTCCATGAAGGCATATAGAGATTCACAATGCATCCTTCGTAGTCTATTTTCTAGAGCTGGAATTAGCACTTTCATTAGTGGAGATTACAGTGTGCTTGTTTGAACTGGCTGGGGTCACATCAAATAATATGTTTGTTTGGAGATGAAAGGGCTAGGGCACAGGGGAGGAAGGGTCCTAGTTATGAGGAGCATCGTTTATCTGCACAGCAAACACTCTGAGTGTATCAAACACACACACACACACACACACATACACAATGTAATCTAGGTTTAATCTAAATTTAATCTAAGTGCAGCGCGACAGTGCTCGCTTGTAAACAAGTCTGTCCTCGGTATATTAACATTTAAGCTGTATCTGTCCTCGTCTATGGCATCTAAGGGGTAATTTCCTCTCCTGCAGTAACACACTCGGGCTTTACACATCAAAAAAATAATGTAATATTTGATCATGCCCCCCCACTGAGAGACATATGACCATATTAATCTGCTGGCATATGTCTGATTCTCACAAAGCACTGGATTGTAAGGTTTTTACAAGCTTAGCCAAGAATAGGATTAAATGGCTGAGACCATTTGGAAGTCTATGATCATATTAACTAAGTATGGTTGTCTGGTTGTCCCATGACTGTCATCCCTGCACAAAAAAAGAGAGAGAGAAAGAAAATGGCATTATTATATCTGCGTATAGAAAACAGAAGAAGCTAATGTGACAGGTAATATTAAAACCGACCCTATTATTACAGGCAGGAGCTGAGAATCCTGCTCTATCAACTGAACGATGGTGATAGATTTTCCACCGCTGTCTTTGAAAGTCACTGAGGAAATTACCCATCTCACATTCCTCAAGTATTATCATTTGCGAAACATTGAGACTATGTGCCTACCAAATCAAGGAGTGTGGGTGTATTCTCAGATCCACTGAAAAATATGCTGAAAAGCTTGCCATTGCTCATTCAGAAATTGTCCTAGTTTTTCATACAGGACCCCTTGAAATATGCAGCTCTACATTTGTTGGCTTTTTACTAAAAACCTTGCTGAATCAGTCTCAGTGCACTTTTCAACACAGCCACAGCCACAACAGAGAAAGAGAATAATGCATACTGAACTTTCCCTCATTCAGTCATATTAATTCATATAACTAGGTATGAATCTCATTTTCAAGGTTAGACATTATTTGCTTCCTCTGCCTGTTCTTAAAGTATGAATGCCTCATTAAAATGAGTAAAATATTTTTAAATAACAAATAAAATAGCTCAGAGAAACCGACTTGCGGTCCTATTTCTGCATTAGAAGAAAATTGATTCACACCAGAAGGAAAGCACTTCCAGATTCAGCTCTCTTTCCCCACATGTTGGCTCCCTGAAGAATTTATTAGACACAGCTTCTTTAACAGGATCGAGGTTTAACAGTGACTCCTCCTCATTGAATTATTGAGACCATTTCCCATTAACCAATGTAATTAAAAGCAAAAATTCAAGGGCTCTCTCAATGTTAAGATTATCACTTCAAAGACAAGCTGTTGACACACTGGTAACAGTTAACTCCTTAATGAATGAATCATGAGGATGTGATGTGGTTGGAGAGAGCGTTCACTCCCACCGCAGCCCAGACCTCACTCATCGTGGTCACCATTAATACAGTGAAAAGAGTGCTTTAGTGTATCTGCTTTCCAGATAGATCAGTGTTCTTCACGCACTGTGATAGATCAAGCACAAATCTTGAGCATGGCCTTGATATCCCGAGCAATTAAGGCGGGATTCAGGGCGTCTAATTAGTTTCTTAAATGCAGGAGATCATTAAGCTCTCATTATCTGTGAACGAGGCTGGAGAACAACCAGGACATAAAAAAACACACACATTCAAAAGCTGGGGAGTGACTGCATGAAACCACGTCTGGCTCACTGAATCTGCTTTCTTTAGACAGCAAGAAAATGGAATTAATGAAATTCATGTATTGAAATTAATTCCAAATACACTCTGCACCATGGTGATTGCACACCACCAAGGGCATTCGTTTTGGTATTGAAAGCCTGTTATGAAATTTTTATTATTTAATAAAATGTTCTTCGGCCTGTTGTATGTTAAAAAGGGAAACATAAGGGCCCTCATTGGGAGTGCATAGGGATGATATCTACATATGCATGGTATTATTACTCTGGCTGATACAGATAAGTCAATCTTTTTCATACTTTGACCAATAACTGATGAATGGCTGATATAGAATTTTGGTATTAATATAAACAAATTAAAAATAAAACCCTAAACTAAAATTAAGTACTTTAAATGCTACAAGTGAATTTAGGTATCACAACATTTTGTTTGGATATTCATTTTGAGATTTGCTAATGAATACATTTACATACAACATGTGTCTTAGTGTTTTTAAAGATTAACTTTAGATGAACATTGAAGGATTTCAAAGGTAATCCTGTAAAAACAATTCTAAATTAAAAACTTAAGTTTAGTTGCTGCCTTAAATTTTTAAGTATAATCAAATTAACGCTACAAGTCATTTCAACAAAAAATATATATATTAAAATGACTTTAAAAATATGGAGATTAATCTTATATAATCTAGAAAAAATTATGCTGAAATTGGTAAATCAGATTAATTAAATTAATGGAAAAACTTGTTGACATGACTTATTGATCTTTTTTTTTTTTACAGTGTACAGTGGCTTTTAAAAAAGGGGTCTTACACAGTCTACATAAAAGTTGCTTGGAGTTATTCATCTTTCAGCGTATTCATTTAATGTAAAGTGCCTTCTTCGTGCATTATTGACCAAAAAAGATGTTTGACTGGGGAGTTGCCAATAGCAAACGTTGCTGACTGTGAGGTACAGAGAACACTTCAAAACCATGTAAAGAGCTACTGCTTTAAACACATACACAAAAATGAAACAGACTGTATGTGTCCATAATCTACACTCATCTTTAATCCATGTAAGAGATCAGAATGAGTCTTCAACTTGAACTCCTCTATATGAGAAAACAGCAGAGGAAGGAATAAATACTAAATTGATTTTGATCAGAGAGACCCTCATTATTTCTGTCCCACAGCTAAAAGACTGCAGTATAAAAGAGTCACAGAGTGAATGAAAGGGACTCATTTGGTGGAGAGGGGTTTCCAAGTGGATTTGACATATCAGGCAGCATTTAATGAGCACAAAGTCTGTGGGTGATCAATATGCGGCCGTCAATTTCAAATTTTAAATAGAATCTGCGCAACGTGTCCTCCATTAGCTACAAAAACGCACAAAAGAATCCCACCATTCCTTAAAGAATGAATCTTGCTGATTTGATGACTTTATAAGTGAAATAAGCCTTTTGATTATGAGGAAAGTCACTGACATATTTATTATTATTAGGGACTGAACTGCCCCAAAATATATTAATTGTATATTAATGAGGTCTTAATGAACTCATTACAATTACAGAGCTTTTTGAAACAAGCTAAGATAATAACTGCACATATACAGATGTATTAGCTTGGGAGTTTACGGATCATTTTCTTCAAAGAACACCCACGATTAGTAATGCCAGACATTGCTGCAACAAGACGACTAGCTTGTTATGTGAATCTTTGAGGACCAAACAAACAGTTGTATAATATGAAATACAACACATAGCTTTATATATTATAGGGGAGAGCAGGGCTTGTTGTCACACAGGGAAGACATTCAGACAGTATATATTAATTGAAACAAAAATGAACTGTTCTCAGTGTGAATGAATAGTTTACATTTTTGCTATTTTATGAATTGTTTTATCATTTAAATTTAGCTGTAAGTGTATAATAGACTGTTAAATGGCTAACTGTGACAACCCACCCCACATACAGAATTGTGACAGCATGTTACTTAAGAATATTTTATTTTATTAAATAAATGTTAGATGGGGCAAGTCGTCTTTTAGGCTATATTTTATATATATATATACCTTGCTACGTGTACTGCGTTAGGCTAACCGAGACTTGTCATTTGCACTTATATATTGTTGCTCTTTTGTTAGTTTTGACTGCTTTTATTGTCCTCATTTGTAAGTCGCTTTGGATAAAAGCGTCTGCTAAATCACTAAATAAATAAAATAAATAAAAATATTTTAATGGCAGGCTTACAGTAATTGTGAAACTTATCACACACAGGGTAAAAAAATGTCCATGTCCTGTGCTACATTTTTAAGGATGATTTTAATAAATGTTTGCAATGTAGAATATTGGGTGGAAAAAAACAACAGTTTGATGGTTTTGTACATTACATTAAATTGGTTTACAATTTAAATTCAGCTTAAAACACTATAATAGGCTAATGTAATGGCAGGCTCCATATACAAGTGTGACAACATGCCCCCATTACTCATTCAAGACATTACATTCCCCATGCAGTGCACCTCACACTTTGCTGATTCATCTATACAGGCTAAAACTACAATAGAACTCAAAACAGACACTTTCAGCCTCATAGTGTCCAAGTGTGGAGACTTTAGGATTGGTGGAGCAATGGCTGGTGAGTGTATGACACCCTGACAGACGGTACTGACGCTGCTAAGGTCAACAGCAGCTTGATGTGCTCTGTCCTCGAGAGTTCCCAGAGCTCAAAGTGGATCAGCCACGTCCCAACTGACCACTGTGATCTCTGGCCAAGCGGTGGCTCCCTCTGCCTGATCAGATGCCGCACCTCTTGTTGGATGGCCAACTGGCCACTTTCCCTGCAATCCAAGGCCAGGGCTCCTCCTGCTTCCGTATGCTCTTTCTTTTTTTGCCTTTTGATGGCCGCTGACCAGCCGGCCGTGTCTGTGCCCTGTCAGAGGCAGCCATGGAGACTAGGATTAAAGAGATTTTCCAAACGAGAACGGTTGAACATAATCACTTATAATCTTAAATTCTGGGCCTCTTGATAATGAAATTGGGATGCTTTTTGGCTGAGACGGCCGTCTCTTCGGAGTCTAATTTAGAAAGTCAGAGTGATTCTACAAATGGAAAGAAACCCCAGAGGTCGAAGAGCCAGAATGGAAGGCCGACCACTAGCCACGTGACCATTTAGTTGGAAAAATGCCTAATAGCACCCTTCAATTTAGCTGATAAAGGTATAATTATTGATCTGCACAGCTGTTAGGGGTGTGGATAAAATGGAAACCGGAGAACTGCCGCTCAACATAATGGAGTGAGGGACAAAGTGGGCATATTAAATCAGATCAAGCCAAAAAATTAAAAATTCAGTGGAGCCCTATCGGAGGCTGTGTCTCAAGCTGTCCATCTTTTACAAACTAGAAACTGTACTCTGTTTAATGATGTTAGTCCTCCAGCATGCTTCATTTACAAAAACTCCCAGGGCTAAAGCGGTTACCACATAAGCCAATCGATGTGAGTCACTGACCACACGCAAGTGCTCGGAGGTACATGTGACCTTAGCGCTTTTCAGTGACCTCTGGTCGATTTGTTTGGTTAGCCATCATGAAAGTAACAGAGACTAAAGTGTGAGAGTGGGAGGACTAAACCAGGTAAAGACTTTCCAGATTGTCAAAGGTATCGATATCTGCATGACAGCCCTGGGTTGGGCCTTGGGTTGCTGCTGTATTTGGAAGGAAAAAAAAGAGGCAAAAAATTCATGAAGAAAGCTATGTAAGAAGTAGAGGTGTGAAAATTAAATGTAATTTCTTGACAGCGGTGTCAGAGAATGGTGGTGCTGGTGAAGTGTGACACGGGATTGTTGGCTGACAAGGCAAGAGGGGGGAATTGTCAACATTACCTTCTTCCCAGCATGCACAGCAGAGTGTGTGTGTGTGGGGTGGAGGGTGAGGGTGGGGAACACACCCACCACAGTCACATGCTCCAAGAGAGATGAAAAGAGTCTCTCTTGCACTCCCGCTATCTCTTATTCTCTCTCTAAATCTCTCGGCATCTGTGTGCTCGCCGACAATGACGGTCAGACTGCAAGATAAACAGAATCAGACAAAGAATATTTTCTATAATGTTTATATTTAGTTGAACACACTGGAAAAAAAATTCAAATTTTCCATCTACATTATATTTGCAAGCGTACTAGTAAGAAGCCATAAAAAACGTAAGAGATAAGAGGCACCTCACTCTCAGCCTGGATTGCATCGGTTGGCATCAGGTTGAATAATGTGGTGGTGTCTCTCAGAGGTGTTGCTACATGCTAGATACTAAAACTCAGAGATTCCCCGTCTGTCTTGACCTGCTGTCTCCATGCAGAATTGATGTGACTTTTACCATGTCCCCTCGCTGCACTGCATCCGAGCGATAGCCTGACTTTCCTGTACACTGTGGTTTAATTAAGCCATACTCCTCAGCGTTCTTGAACCTTCTCCGCTTTAGACAGGATGACAGGGATGATCTAAAGTGAGTCTGTTAATTAAAGACACGGTCCCCGAGTTCAGTGTGGAAAGTAGTATGTGTGTAAAGGACTAAAACTAGTCTGTGTTGGCTTTTGCGTTCCTTTTCTTTTCTTACAATCAGCATTGTTATCAAAAAGGAAAGTCTGTGGGAGTTTTCCACCTGCTAGGGGACGGAGTGGGATTCAGGAGAGACGACAAGCAAGAGCGACGCTGCTGAGATGGGACAGCTCACCTCTTCCTTTCAATGATATGCTAATTTGTGCCCAGGCAGCACCTTGATGTCGTGCCTCACCATCACTTCCTCTGATGAGCCGTATGCCAATCAGAGGAGAGCTTTGCTTTGATCAGCGGGCCACATTAACTGCCCCGGCTCGCCAGAATGGCTCCACTCAATTACAACTAGAGAAGCAGCTACTCCATTACATCCCCTATTCATGAATCATTAATCTGCAGTTATGGTCAATATGGGTTATCATAAAGCGCCAGGGGGGAAATGCATTCAATTGCTTCAGAAAGGAATCTTTGGGTCTCAAATATGGACCCTAGAATTCTAGAGAAAAATTAAAAAAGCATCTTGTTTTCTGTTTTCTTTTCTCCCTGAATAGCCCAAAGAAAAAAATAGGAAAATCCTTTCACTCACACCTCCCTGCCTCATCTTATATGAAATTATTATTATTATTATTATATTGTTTAAACTAAGGTAACCTTAAAAACAATAAAGCATAATAATAATAATAGCAACAAAAGCATCAGCAACAACAACAACAATAATAGTTATTATTATTGTTATTATTATATTGTTTAACCTAAGCTAACCTTATAAAATAAGCATAATAATAATATCAACAACAGCATCAGCAACAATAATAATAATAATAATTATTATTATATTGTTTAACCTAAGATAACCTTATAAAACAATAAAAGCATAACAATAATTGCAACAACAGCATAATCAACAACAACAATTATTATTATTATTATTATTATTATAGTTGTTCCTCTATTATTATTGGTAAATACCATAATAACTTAACTTCATAATAACAATTATTATTATTATTAGTTAACCTTATAAAACAATAAAAGCATAATAATAATAATAATAGCATCAACATCATCAACAACAACAACAATTATTATTATTATTACAGTTGTTCTACTATTATTATTAATAATAATTACCATAATAATTTAACAACTTCATAATAACAATTATTACTATTATTATTATTAAACATTCATTTTAGTTAGTATTTTGTGACTAAATCCAAGACAACCATACAAACTACTATTAATAATAAAGTATTAGAAGTACTAATAAAGTATCTAAACCACACAGCCTGTTCACTGGCTAGAACAGTTTAGTACTGTCTATTGGTTGACCATTGTCCATTTACTTATGGTCACCCGAGAAAACTTAAAAAGCTAGTAAAAACACCAAATGGGATCTGCCGTGATACACTGAAGGTGACCTCCACTGAACATTGTGTATTACTCCCCTGTTGTTGGATACAGACATTATGAGATGTCATATCTCTGCTCTCATTCTTTGGAAGGTTTTGTTTGGTCTACACCCCTGCTCCTGCTGGCTTTGAGTGGGGACTATATTTTATTTGAATTCTCTGAATGACACAAAAATGTCTTTCAAATTCTCGGAACCCAGCTGGGAGGATAGGAAAGGCAAGAGACTGTGAAGCATTTCTTCAGACGTTCACTATAGTTCACCTCAATAATGGCTATTCTCTTCATGACCTTGGGTTCCTAGAATCAAATAAAAGACTACTCATTTCAAACAATTACTTTAAATACAATACACAGAGACAAGTGCTATAATCATTCCCAAATCAATGCTTACAGTATGTGTGTGCTTTAATTTACAAAAGTCAGTCCCACTGTGCAGGTATATGCTGTTTTTTTTCTGGGTGAATGACAAAGGGCAGGCAAGAAGCGTCCTGGAAGTAAGAAAGCAGTGACAGGAGGCATGTCAATGTCGTGAAGAGTGTACTTGACAAGGCAGACGAGACGAGCAGGAGGCAGATAGACAGTGAGGCACTGGAGCAGAGACTCTCCAGTCTGAACCCCCTTAAAATATGCTAAAGCCCCATTCCTCACTGGCTGCACATGTGTCTGCTTTAGCACTTTCTTTAGAAAATACACACAATAGACAGAGAATACACACAATGTAGAAGAGACAGAAAAGCAAAGGAAATATAATGAGAGACGAGGGCTTGTCTACGGGTTATATTAGGGAAAATTAAATTGATGAGTTCATCTCTGGCTCATTATTGCAGTGATGAATCAGATTGCAGGCTTCCCTCAAAAGCAGCTTAATGACTTGGTGACACACATCAGAATGACTTGTCTTCCATCACTGTGTCTTGCTCGGTTGTGTGATGTGCTTAAACAAAATGGATAATTACTGAGTGCTATCATCAAAGTAATGAATGATATCAATGAGAGGCCATTTATACTGTATTTTGCATGTTCAGTCTCATTATAGGTTAAAAAACCTGATGTCAAAGTCAATGTGAATTGCTGACTGTAATTCATTTTACGGCTGCATGTTTAGAAAATAAAATAGGATATTGATTTACAAATACCGGTAAATGTGATTCGGGAATTGACTGGATGGCAAAAACTAGATGTTACATACCAGAACGCTGCATGAATTAATGAGTTTACTAAAATAAGGCTTTTCAAACTGGGGCCCAGGTGGGGGAAAAAACACATTTAAACATTAAAAAGTAAATAAAATATTATTATATTACATTTACTAACATATTATTAATAATAATATTACTAACATTATAATATAAATAACAATATTAATGTTTCATTACGATTTATAAAAAGTTGTCAGAAATCATGAGATTATTTTAGTCTATTGACAATTGTAATTAACAAAGAAAAACAAAACGAAACAAAACTGCATAATATAATAAAAAAACACTGTATGTATACAGTCGCCGTGATTTTGCCAAGTAAGACATGTTCCATGGATCAACATCTTTTGTTGATCCTGGATCAACATTCAACATTACTGTCCAAAAATATAGACTAAGCCCAAGCCCAATCCCTACCCCTAAACCTAACCCTACCCATAATTTATTCCTAAAATCAGTGTGAAATGATAGCTGATTAACAAGGGTGTAGAAGCATCTAACTCTGATCGTAAGCCTAAAAAGTTATCCCTCAATTCTGATTGGTTAATTGGAATGTTGTTCCAGCAGGAACATGTTGTATTTGGTGAAATCACAGTCACCGTATTTATACATTGGTTCTAAATCATTATCATATTCATATCAGTGTTATTTTAGTATTATTCATACAATATTATATAATTTTTTTTTAGAAATAATTATATAAATATATTGAATGAACTTTTTTTATTTTCAGACTTCATATTAACTCATTTAAATTTAAAAAGTTTAAAAGTTTTTATTTTCAGACTTCATATTAAC